TAACATACCGAGTAACAAACTTCTTTGCGAGCTGGGCTCCCGCTGGATACTTGGCTTCCGGATTACTGGATCCTGTATCGCCGGCCAGGCAGCTGACGATGAAAGAAAGTCTAAAAACTTGCGCTGCTGGCTGCTGATCTCTCGAGTGTTGCGGTTACACGTTATACGTTACATGGGACCATAGCCTACAAAGACGGAAATAACTGAGACCATGCGAGTTTGAACAGAGAACAGCGTTGAGCAAAATCTTGTCTGATTGATCGTGTACTAGCTGTTATACATGGGTATCATTATCGAATTCATCATTGTGTGGACCATGGCCTTCCGAAGCAGGCTGCTGCTACCGGTACATAGGTCTCTCCAGTCTCCAGTCTGGTTTCTGGAGACGCTAAGAATACCTCCCCCTTCAAAACATAGGAAAACCTGCTCCCTTGTGTGCTTGAATAAATCGCTCATTTCGCTTTTGTCGCTATCCAGGCCGTGTGCCCACATCCCCCGAGAATTGCTTGTCGTAATAAGTAATGGTACAAGAAGACATGGCACTGTTTAGTGCGTCACGTGTACCATACTGGGTCTTCTCTCGTACGTATAGCCATATGCGCCCGGGCCACTCGAATAGGCGTATTGTGTATCGTAGCTGTACGAGTAGTCGTATTGCTGTTCCTGGAGATCTCGCAGGAGTTCCTCCTCCAAGTCCTCTTCCTGGTCGAGCAAGTCCTCCACCGCGGTAGCACATCGGTCATGAGCTAACCTCAGGCCTTCAGTGGCATCCACCCCAGTGACTCTGCAGATACTGAGAATGGAATTGAGCTTGGATCGTTGAGTCTGAAACTGGGCTTCGATTCGCTTCGAGGCTGAGATGATGGATCCATATGGGCTCGAGGATTGGGCAATGGGTGACGAAGCCACAGGGCTGGATGGTGCCGAAGAGATGGGTGAATTTGTAGGTGTGCCGGTAGTGAGATTGTAGCGAGCCGACAGGGGAGAATGAGAGGCGATCAGTGTTGCCAGTTTCCAAATATCACAGTAGATGCATTCTTCTACACATGCCGACGAGAGGACTGTCTGGGTGGCTGCCAGCTGTTGTTGGGTAGACACCATGGGCCGGAGACCCCTCAAGATCGCCGTCTTTGATTTGCAGCTTGAAGGCATTGTGTTGTGTGTTGAAAGGTTATTGATGGGAGTGTCCGACAGAGTTGCTGATATAGATAATTGTCTTGAAGGAGACGGTCGAGGGGTCATGGAATTCGAGCAGATTTGATGTCTGAGATGTAGGAGCTGGGGACACGAGACTGGGTGGATAGCTGTCGATCTTCTGTTGCATGGCAGGGAGGAAAACGACGAGGCGGGATGGGAAGGGCAAGATATAATATGCGAATCTCACTTTCGGAGGTTTAATATGATGACTACCTTAGCCCCTGGTTCATTTGGAACATCAGATTCAGGTGGAGGTAAGCAGGTGACTCTGGACTCACTCACCGTTGGAACCCTGGATGGACAGTCAGGATCAAAATGCAGCCACGCATCTGAACCCCCAAACAAGGGATGGTGGCATCCAGGTCACATTGTGCTGAGTCGAATGGGAATCATTGTTCGCGGATGCCACCACGTGGAGAGACAGGGATGGGCGTGAATGCGAGAATGCGGGCACCAGCTTTTGACGGTGAGCGAGACAAGAGTGACGGTGGTGACAGCAGATGGTGCCATGGTGGATGGTGGTGTTGGTCACTTGTCCCGAGAAGAGAAATTAGTGGGGAATTTACAAGTAGGAGCAAAAGGACAAAAGGACCCCAAGGGCCAAAGGGCACAAATGCCCAACCACTTAGCGGTCAAGTTGGGTGGCTAGGGGCCTCGAAAAGCGAAGCAAGCCTAGCAAGCCTCCAGCAAGCCACCCAGAGATCAAGGGCGATCCTTGACTAGGAGCAGCCCCTTCCTGGTCTCGCTAAGCGTCGTGACTGGTTCAACCGGTGCCCGTAAAGTTCACCCCGGGCAGCCCTGGTGGCCTTGTGCCTCTGTGACGTGCAGCCCCGGGGTTCATTTGTGGTTACTCGGTGATGGCTAGGCAGATTCCACGGCCACAGACGGCGGTGAGTCGAGTGGATTAAAGCAGCTCAAGGTTAGTCATCTGCAGGTAGCGTCTCCGGAACAGTCCATTTGGTAAAGACTCTCTTCCCTTTTCGCTCACCTCACTCAGCCCTCACCTTCTCCCTCACTCTGGTCCTCACTCTTGGTCTCTTTATCGCCATGTCGCCAATTCATTCTTCCCCCCCCGGTATTATGACTGATTACGTCCGGGATCAAAACACTTTGCCTCATTCTCGACCGGTTCTGTATCTGGTCGAATTCCTTCACTCAGCACTGTTCCGTCTGAGGACAATGCGAATCCACAAACTCAGTATCTCCCATGATCATCCTGCAAACCTCCAGCCCCTCCAGCAGCCCAACTAGTGAGGCAGCCCTCAAACCTTCCCAGGGTCCAGCCGCACCATACCTCATGCCGCAGACCTTGTGCCGCTTTTTCCTCGGAAGGCGTCAACCGCAGTGACGATATTTTCATCCCCCGGCTCATCTTTTGTTGGCTTCAGTCCTGCGCATCACACAATCTTTGCCTTCTCTGAAGTATTCTCCTAATGATACCTGTCCTGGATCCCTGAAGAGCTAGGGCCGCAGTCACACAGCACCTTGCCTTTCGGACTCAGATCTTATCCCGTACGCCAACTTCCGTGGGTGCTGCCGCTATTGCGGGTACCCTTCTCCGCTCTCTGTCAGCCCTACTTCCTCGCTCCACTTAGAACTTGCTGTTGCCCCTCAAGCCCTCCTACCTCGTTTAAGACCGGTGTGTTATTGCTTTCCGCATCGAGATTGTCTGTATCGTCATGCATCCTTTGCTCGGTCCCTGTCTCGGCACCTCAAAACATTCAGCTATCTCAGCTGCCGTCCTTAGCCACTCGAAGCGAGGTGGACACAGGTATGGTGGAAGAAGTAATCATGCCTCTCTGGTGATAAAGAGCTTGAAATGTACATGGCAGACTGAACCCGGGGTAGCATACAAGAATCTATACGAACCGGCTAACGACATGTCAACATTGCCTGGCGTATGAACCGCGTCTCGTGTCCTTGTTTATCGGTGCCACCGTCACACCCTGTACTACGCAAAAACAGCCTTCTGAGTCATTCCCCTGGGGCCTTGAGTGACATGCAGTAAGGGGGAGGCCAAGTGCAGCGAGTCCACTTCTTGAATGTTATGGTTTCAGGAGAACATGGTTTGACCACAGCCTAGATCGAAAATGTTCCAGAACAATCTCTAGGCCATTTCAATCTCAGAGAGGTAGGTACTAGGGAATTGACTTCCGTCTGATACTGGGAAGTTCCGGATGCTGCTCCTTACCTGCGACGCAGGGGTTCGTCGTTGAGCCATGAGGAAGAGCTTGTTGACGGTCCAGACAATGATGTTCGCTAAGATGCTCAAGGTCTATCTGACTCCTGTTCTCACCAAAGCATTTTGGGGAACTTGTCAAACTCTCGTTTACCCTGCCCAGACGCAGCTGCAGACACAACTTTTACGAACCACCCCGAAACCGCATCGAGGATACCCGGTGAAGGCCGAGATATCAAGGCATGTGCGACGGAAAAGACTCATTGCATCTCGCCCCAACAAACATTGGGTCGTAAAAAAAGCCCGACCCAGGTACATGATCCCCGAGTGATGAAAAATGGCATCCCCATGTCTGCCTACAATGGACAAGGGACAGCGGACAGCGCAGGTGGTGACACAAAGACGACAATACCCGATGCCGGTTTATCTGCAAGGGGAAATACTGCCACAGTAATGCCATCGCAACCCATCACTGACTGACTGACCGACCGCATTTTGCGTGGATCCGGTTACACGACGTGATGCCCCAGCCACCTACCCACCCCCCTCCTGTTCCTGCATCTTGCCTTCACCGCTGCTCGCTCGTTTACACAGGGGAACCCAAGTGAGGATGTTTGCAGAGAAGGAGGAAAATCCGGCCCCGAGTCTTTTTGGGGAGTTGAAGTTGGAAATGCTATCCTGCTGCACGTGTCCTTGATATTTCCCATTCCCCTAAGGGAAAGGGAACAGGGGAAAACTGAACAGAGCAGAGCAGAGCAGTGCGGAAAGGATTGGGTCTTTTGGACATCGAATCTCGGACCTCGAAATGGATTTGTTTGTCTTCCTCTTCCTCCCCTCTTCCTCCTCCTCCTTCTCCTTCACTTCCTCCTGCCTCTTCTTCCTCGGACATCATCCACAATCGACCGAGAACAAACAAACAACAGGTAAAAAGGAAATACTGAAGTTTCTCGGGACGGATAAATGAACAGCTGGATCGATGGATATTAGACAGTGATGGCGGGAAAGATATACACTGTGTCTACACATACACATACACACAGAGAGAGAGAGATACTTCTGTTTCGTCCATGCGAGGCTGCCAGATAGATATCGTGATCATGATCATGATCTACGCCGCTCACCCTCCACCCCTACGCCCGCACGCAGCACCGTCGCATGTATATATATACACATATACACATATACATGGGCCTCGATTCCGGATGGCAGATCAATGTACGTGAACATATTCCAACGGCGTGCGTACGGACGTAGCCTTGCACGTCTCCGCCGGCAGTGGCTGTGATGAAATATCAAACTTGAGTGGATGTGCTTTGCTCTGCTTTGCTTAGCTGGCTAGCTAAGGTACCTTACCTACTGCCTACTGGCTAGGTATTCAGCTATCGACACTATTTTCTCTGCTGCTCTGCTGCTCTGTCAACAGCCAACCACATTTCTTCGTTGGTCAGGTCTGATCGTTTTTTTTTTTGGAACCAAGGACTGTCTGTGAGTTACATTCCTGCGCATGGTGCTCGTAAACAGGACTCATGGATGGCATCAACCACAAACGCGCTAGACAACCAATATCTCATGGGTCTGTCTGGGAGCGTCGCATGCCCATCCTCCCAGCGTCTCATGACCCAGCCTAGTATCTTGGTGGTGGTGGTGCACCGTAGCCACCCTGTTGTGGGGGATAGCCTCCCTGTGGTCCACCTTGCGGAGGTCGTCCATAACCGCCCGGTTGCTGTCCTCCATAGCCACCTTGAGGCTGGCCGTAGCCGCCCTGCTGTGGGGGATAGCCACCTTGACCGGGAGGACCACCGTAACCGCCTTGAGGTTGTCCATACCCGCCGCCTGGAGCACCTCCATATTGTCCCGGAGGTGGAGCACCATAACCACCGCCTGGAGGTCCTCCATAGCCGCCAGGGCCACCTTGAGGAGGTCTCGCACCAGCTTTCTCGTCTTTGGTGTCGTAGCTCGAGTCGATACTACCGAGGAGGAGTTTGATAAGCCAGAGTTCGGGGGACAACTGGACAGGTGGATTAGCACGAGACATCTCGTCAGCTTCGACTTCGTAGTCTGTAGATCGTCACGTCAGCAAGAAAAGCCCTTCTGCTCTGCAGTCCAGTTTGGAGCTGCTCCCGAGGTAAATACATACTGGATGTGCAATCAATGATGTCACCGATAGTAGGCTCTTCATCGAGTTTTCCCAGAAACTCTCTCGCTTTCAGGTCATTGCCGACTTGTGCAAACTGGAATGCCAACGCTCCCTTGCCGTACCGCGGATTGCGCGCCAACTCGCTCGATGCCGCCGCAATGATCTTAGCCACATCGGACGAGCTTTCGCCCGTAGGTTGACCATCGGTGATGGTGATGACCAACACGGGCTTGCGCAAGGTCCCACGTCGGGCATTCTCCAGTACAAGAGGTCCGAGGATCTTGTTTTGTAATTCGCGACCCATGGGTGTGAGGCCAGAAAAGCGGGTACGCGCAATCATCTCATTGACTTGCTGCTCATTGCGAATGTTGTTGCCCTGGTCAGGAGAGTTCATGAAGCGGACTTGAATGCCATCGTCGTCGAAGAGGGAGGTGGCAAATGCGACACGTGACAATATCAACTTGAGGTCATCAATACGTTCTCCATTCTCTTCGAATTGCATGGATCCACTGTCATCAATGTACAAGATCACGTCGTACAGGGCCAACTTGACAATGTCCGAGGCTATTTCAGGAGAGATCCTCCAGGCCGCGGCCAACTGAGCGACTTGTTGAGCGGCGCGGTTAGCGATCTGGTCGAGCATGGGATGGCCTGGTGGGTAGAAATTCTGAAGTCCTTTCTCTTGAATGGTGGCTTGGAGAAGTTGCTTGTAGGCGCCCACATTACCGACCGGAGCTACAGGCGGGCCGCCGGGGGCGCCACCAGGGGGAGCACCGCCGTACTGCTGAGGGGGAGGGCCGCCGCCATATTGTTGAGGAGGACCACCAGGAGAGGGGCCGCCAGGGTATGGAGGTTGTTGTCCCTAACGACAAAGGAATGTTAGTATGATGGCTCAAGAAAGACCATGCAGGTATGGGCAAGAGGCAAGAGTGCAATGTGTAGGAACGAACATATCCATATCCACCAGTTGGTTGCTGCTGCTGCTGGTACTGCTGTTGTCCGTATTGATTCTGTGGTTGTTGATACTGCGATTGATAGGATTGATATGCTGGCTGCGGTGACTGATACCCCCCCTGCTGCTGGGGGACACCTAGCTGTTGACCATACGGCGGCTGTTGCGATTGCTGTTGAGGCGCTTGCCACTGCGGAGGCTGGTAAGGTTGAGGAGATGCACTAGGTCGAGGAGGAACCGCAGGCTGATTATAAGGTGACGGAGGCGGTTGTGGCTGTTGCTGCTGATACGGCGGTTGAGAGGGGTACGGTGGCTGCGGGGTTGGTGCACCAGGATATGCAGCTCCTGGCTGAGTTTGCTGCGCGATGCGAGAGAACTTGCTCATGTTTTGCAAGAGGAATACTTCTGAGGTCGGCGGATGGAAAAAGTGTCGAGATGGAGACAGGAGGTTGAAGAAGGATAAAATGGTGTGCGGTATGGCCGGCGCAGCGCAGGACGGGATGACGCAACCAAAAGGTGATTTGGGTGGAATTGGGTGAAATAAAATTTAATTGCAAATGACTAGAAACGCGCTTACCGGTTGACCTGGTCTGGGAGCCCCAGCACCAGCTCCAGCACCAGCACCAGGGCCAGAAGCTGGAGGACCACCTGGATATGCTTGATATTGCTGCTGACCAGGCTAGACAACAAAACCGCCGACGTCAGTCTTTGTCAGTTGTTACAAAGGTCAGTCTTTAGCTCACGTAGCCACCACCGGGAGCACCTCCAGGGGGAGGGGCACCGCCGGGTACAGGAGGACCGCCGGGATATGCAGCCTGTGCTGCGGCGAGTTTCGAAGCCAGCTATACACGTCATCAGTTAGGAGGAGTGAGCTTGATTGATTGCAAAACCAAGTCATGTTATGAGGCGAAGAGGCGCGAACAGGGTGGTGATTTGGGCATGAACTGGTACGAGGAGGAATGGGTATTGGTGCGGGGCAGATCAAGGGGGGGGAAGATGAGCTGAATGATGGTACTTACACCCATGATTGAGATGCTGTTGCTGGTCAAGATTCAAGAGGAAGAGAAGAGCAAGGTAGAGATGAGAAGAGGGAGTTTCAGATGGACGTTGAACAACCCTTTTAAAGGGGGAACCAAGTTACTGAAATTCACAAAACTTGTGATGATGGCCACGGTCTGAGGGACATACCATTCCACCAGCCCTGGTGACAAGGAGGGGTTTAGCCTGCAGCTTAGTGACAGGGCTGTGCTAGCTGAGCTACAGGGGGGAAAAAGGTCACTAAGTAGCGGGGGGCCTAGCTCCTCACCTTACCTGCACAAGTTCCTAGGTGCCTGGGCACTCCTTATAGGCGAGCTGGTACCTATTTTGTCCTCGGTCTCAGACCCATCGGCAGAGTTTCCTTGGTGAGCGGGCCGACTTGTTTACGTGATTCTGTGGATCTTGTTATTGGCTGGTGCTTTAGCTCGTAGCCTAGCTAATCAGGGTTTAGCCTCGATGTCGCGTCCGAGATCTCTTCGAGAGATTTGCATCCATATCGGAAGTGTCATTTCCTCCCAGGGCCATTCTGGTCCTTGAGACCCGACTCGTACTCCTTTGGTCTGTTGAATGGATACTCTGAATGGATTGAAATACTACAATCCAAAATCTGCCCCACGAAAAAAAACCAGACGAAAAAGGAAATCCAAAACCCGCCGGGTTGCAGTGCATTATCCTGCTTCCAAGCGAACCATCTGAGCCTCAAGCTTCTCGATCTGCGCTCTAGTCCAGACCGTGTCACGGTGGGAGACGCCGAGAAGAAGAGTCTGGCCAGCTAATGCCTGCTGGTGCAATTTCCTGGCTTCAACTTTGTCAAATTCCTCCACGACAAAGGCCAGGTCGTTGATTGCCCAAAGGGTATCGTGATGGTCCATGCCCAGGACTCTTTCCCGTCCCTCAAGGCAGATGCGGTGGTGCTGTGCACTTTCGACAAATCTTCCTTGGTCGCGGTAGCATCGGCCTATGTCAGCCGTGGCCCAGAGGACGTGAGGATGGTCGGCACCGAGGAGCTTCTCCTGAATGGCAATGGCCTCTCTGTGGCGTGATATTGCAGTCACGGGGTCCCCCAGTTGTCGATACGCTCGTGCCAGTGTGTTCAAGGTCCAAGCCACTTGCAATTCGTCTCCAGACGTCTCCAAGACGGCAAGTGCTCGCAGATGCATCGAGATGGAGTCTGGAGTGCGCTTCAAGTGTCTATACATACGGCCAAGCTCGTTGACCGTCCAGATTGTTTCCGGATGGCTAGTTCCCAGATGCTTCTCCTGGATCGCGAGTGCCTTCTCTTGCGTAGAAGCTGCCAGCTCGACTTTCTGCTGTTGGTCGTATATAATTCCCAAGCTGTTCAACAACCAAACCGTCGACAGCTCGTCCTGCTGGGGAGATTCCTGTTTCCTCCGCAGAGCCTCGGTCATCCATCTCTCACCTTGATCGAGCCTGTTGCTCATGGTATATTCTCGGGAGAGGTCTCTGATGACCATCAGCTTTTCAAAGTACGTTACCTTGGCTCTGCCGGTGCTGTCTGTCTCTGAGCCGAAATCTTGCTGTTCTTCGACGTTCTCTACATCCAATAAGATCTGCTCAACATCTCGAATCCAATCTAGGCGATCATCGCGCTCCCGCTGCCCCGCGGATGCCCATTTGCAGAGCTGTTTTTGGAGTTTGACCAGGTGTTGCAAAGGGAAGACTGATGCTTCACCAAACAGTTGCCGCTCGATCCAGCTTAAGCGACGTCGACGGCATGCCAAGTAGCTGTGCATCATCTCATCGAGCTCGGGTTCATATCTGGATCGTACCAGGTGGTACGCCCAGAAGGACATGGCGTATTCAGATAACGGGAATAAGACGTCGGTTGCGAGGTTGGTCTCCATCTCGGCAGCCTGGAGAAGGTACCTGAGACATACATTTGCAATATGAGAGTGGCCATCTGCCTTTCGAAAGGGCAAGCTCGATCCGTCGTCACTTTCTTGCGCAGAATGATCTTCGGTCACATCCAACAGAAATTCCCGAACGGAAATGTGTACAAATCTGAAGATATCCTGGTCTGGGAGGTATTCAACCAGAGGACTGCAAATTTCCAGCATCGCCTCTTTAAATGGCATCTTTTCGATCCTGCCAACAGCCAAGGCTGCTGTCAACTCATTCCAACCGACTGGGCGGGCGGCGCAACACATCCAGGTCAAGAATCTCTTAGTGAGCCTTTGACTTTGGCGGGACCTTGTTTTGAATCGTTCCAAGATGGCGTTGTAGGTCAAATTCAAGCCCACCGGGTGGTTGGAGATTATATCCATCGCATCGTAGGTGCTCGTCGCTGACGTCAAAGACTGTAAAAGAAGGCTGGCCCAGAGGAACATGCCATCTGCTCCTTGGGAGAGTTTAGCAAACATTTTGTCATGCAATTCCGCATCAACAAAGTCGAGCTTGGACAATTGACTTGTGACGAACATGTCAATGTCAGCTCTTGTGTCTCTCGACTTTATTTTCAAGATGGAGTGTGGATGAGAACCAAGTCGCCTGGTTAATCGAGGTAAGTCTCTGCTCAATATCAAGGTGCGAATAGTCACTGTAGACCCGGTGAGTGCGAGGATGTCCCGCAGTACCTCGTCCGGGCTCTCGGCCTCGTCTAACCCATCTATCAAGATATAGATTTCATCTAGGAGGCCACAGAGAGACGTGATGAGGAGGAGAGGTTGGTCGGCCATTGAAAGTCGAGGCCTCGCGCATTTCGTCGACCTGTTGTAGGATTCGAGCACCACCTCTGGCAGGTCTTCAAACTGGGCTATTATTTGTGCGATCAAGGTGGCCAGGATGGAGATGGTGGTCCGGTTCTGCTGAGAATTTTGGGAACAGTAAAAGAAGGCAACAGGTTTGAGCTCATGAGCATTTCGAGAGGTTTGGATGTGCTCGATTATGGAAGTACTTAGGACCGTCTTACCCGAGCCTGGTGGTCCGACAATCCACAAGATGCGGTTGTCGATGGATTGGCACCACTCTCGGAAGAGATGGTGATCAAGGAGCCATTGGCCGCACGACGAGATTCGCCGATTCGATTCTCTGAGGAAGTCATCTTGTGCATCGGCTGGAGACAGCCACCTCGAAATGTTCTGCCGCGCCTCCAGATACCCTTTCCAGAGGTCAACAACTTTGGTGTCGTTTGATAGCGCGATCTCGTTATCTAAAACGAGCGTGTGTCGAGAAAGAGCTCTGAGAGTGTCACGGAAATCAAGGTCGAACGTTCGCCAGACGTTTCTCCAAAGCAAGCTGAGGCCTACCACCTGTAAGCGTCCGAGACTGGTTTTTCGAGAAAACAGAACCAACTGACCGCGTTTGGAAAATACAGTCTTTGCTTTGTGCAGAAACACCAGGGTATCATAGTATACCTCTGCCAGTGCGGCCTGGAAACGAACATGGCCCTTGAGAAGCTTCTCGTACTCGGCATAGAGTGAGACTTTATCGCTGATATCTTCGATTGCATGGATCAACCTCTCCAGATACTGGGAATGGGCTGAAGAAACCTAAGACTGCGTCAACACTATCCAGCGGTGGTTCTATTGTAGAGGAATGGACGAACCACCAACACTGCTCTCACCAACCCCCACACGAGGGAGAATGGTACAGGTCGCGCCTGCGTCGCCGAGTCCAGGGCTCGCCCATACCGCTCGAGAAAGTCCAGGAAGGGTCCAATCCGGGACTGGATCTTGCGGGTGCGACTGGAAGCCGCTTGCTTCCGTTCCAGCCGTTGGACCTCGGAAACAACGTCTTCGAACTGTGTGTGTTGAAACTGCGCTTGCTCGTCAACACCGAGGGTGGCACGAAAACGTTCAAACGAGATCTGCAGGGGCTGAGGGAGAGGTCGGTGAGGCTGAACTACTTGGGACATTTGCACCATCTGCGCCATTGCCCACAGACAACACGACCTTGGTAAGTAGAAGAGCGACACGGAGACGGACTGGCAGGACTGGCATTGCAAAAGTTCCAATCCTTCCCAAAGTGAGGCATGAAATTCCAGGCCGTTAGTGTCGACTACCGCTTCACTGTTCTGACATGTGGAGGAGAACTACCGACAGAGCAAACAGCCTGATAGTTCCACACGTTACCTTTTTCTTTTGATGAGGGTGCCCCGGCAGTACAATGGTTTCTCTGGGATGGCAAGTTCAAGGGAGGATTCCTGTCTCGTCGTGCATTGAGCCCGTAGAACCGGTGAACCCAATGTGCTGGCGTCCACACCCTCTACGAGGTATACTATCACCGTTGAAGAAGTTCGCGGTAGAAGCTAAGGGACCAACCCTCTGAGGTGGCACTGCAGCTCGGGGTACTTGACCAGTTATTGTCCCCCCCAATGAAAAGTGAGTATACTCCTCCCGCATGAACGCCCACTGCACTGCGCCTTAGGCAGCAATCCCGCAGGGGGCGCCGCTTGGGATTGGCACTGACAGCGCACTGGAACACCTCAAGACAAGCCAATATCTTGAAGGAAGCGTGCCAGATTTCGAATGCATGTACAAATCAGCCTTAAGCGACGGCCTTGATCCATTCTCAGCCTCACCACTTTTGCGCCCACACACCTCTTTCGATGGTGACCTCTTCGCGGAGAGATTGCGTCGTCACCAAACACGAGGATCGAGGGAATGAGCTGGCCGAATACTCTGTGTTGGTTAATGTCCTTAGCCTGCGCCTGCCCAAGGACCTGAACAAGACGTGGTCCCATATGGGCTATGGATGAGGCTCAGCAGAATGGGTTGAGGTCGCCCTTCTTCTCTCAGTGGACCGAGTATTCGTCTTGGTACGTACCCCGGATCTATAAATCCAGTGTCGATATTGCAATACGACACCTCATTCCTTCGGCATCAATTTCCTCCTCTTTGAACGATAGCTGCCTCGAAAATCATCATCTTACAACAATCTATATACTTCAACTCAGCCCACAACTCCATCAACCATGGCGCACGCAATCTCGCCCCATGATCTGACGGAGAAATTCATTGCTCAATTTACCGCCAAGTTGAAAAGCACCGACTTGGTCACTCTGCTCAGTAGCCATCTTCAACAGAAGGATGCCGACTCACGCATTCTGCACATCGACCCGTCGGTCCTGGAGTTGCACCTCGAGCTCCTGGCCTACGAGAATGCCATCAAAGTCGCGTGCACCTTCCCGACCAAGCTTGCAGAGAGACTGGCCCAGCGACAGGGAAATGTTCCAAATCAAAGGAGAGAGAACCACCATGCAGTACCGGGTCGCACGATTGAGCAACACGTCAACGGCGGCCTTTCGAAGCCAGAGCCTCATCACCAACCGGCCCTGGATGCGGTTCAGACAGCCAAAGCCCCCGTCAACAGCGCCTCCACGAAGAACGAGCCAGATCAGGCATTTTCTTACCTGGTCAAGGAGGCGACAAAGCAGTCTGGAAGAGAGGAAGTCAAGAAATCTACATCTCGACCAGATAGCAACGGCCGCGCTTCACTCAACCATGAAGCCTCACGGCCAAACATGAACACGGCACCAAGTCCAAGCCCAGCGAACGGCCACAGGACCGGTCCCACGAGCTTCTAGCTGGGCAGAATGTGATAGAGTCTCTGTTGGACACTAGCTGGGACGTGTGGGACGGCGGTCAGATGACTGGTCTCTGTGGCACCCACTGTCATCGCGAACAACCAGCTTTGAATCACGAATACTGACGACTCAGAGGGCCAGAGCGGATGGACTGGAGGAAAGGGACCACCTAGAGAGCTGCAGATGAAGAGATGGGCTTCGGGACAGAGGACACTACCTAGATGCCGGTGCCTGACTCAGTGTGGAGGATTTTGCAAAAAGTGCAACACTGTCTTTCCAGTAGATAGGTTCCATACGAGTCGATAGATACCACACGAGTAGATAGTTTCCATAGAGTACAAAGTGTGATATGGGTTTATATGTAAAGGTCAATTGGATCACGACGATCCCAAATAAAGCTCTATCCACACGCTATTCTGTGCCCCTCATAGAGTTGTAATGACTCCTTTCCAAATCCTCATCATGAGCTCCCTCTCCTCCCTATGGCTTGCATTGCACCATTGTCACAGTTACAAGTTACAGTGACATTGACAGTGACATCGTGCAGTTTATACAGCTCAACTTGTAAGGCCTCTTTACAGATCTTGTTGGAAAATTCCCCCCTTACCAGCGTCAGGTCGTTCCAAAAGTGTCGCTCCCTCTATTGTCTGAGTGCTTCTGCCTGTCACCCGTCACCCAGTCTGATTGTCCAAAGCAGCCACGAACAATTCAATCAACTGTTCCCCACCAACGTGCCGGAAAAAGTCAGCCTCGTGTTCAGCTTTTTCCTCTCTCGGGGTTACAGTTGGGAACGAACGGAGGACTCACGTATTTGGTATACTTGGTATTCCCGGCAGCGGGCTGCAAAATGGCCATCTTCTCGTCCAGGCGGTCGGGGGAACAATACACCATCTGCTCCAGTCCGGGACTGTTTTCGAGCTCGCTGATAAACCCCAAGGCTTTGTCGCTGCTTCCGACGCGGGAGATGATGAAGACGACAGACCCGTCGCCGAAATTCGTGCCCGACAGGTCCTGTTTGCACTGTCGAATCTTGTCGCGCAGCGTTTCGCGATGTTCGCCGTAGGGCTGTGATGGCGAGGTATCAATCAATCAATCAGTCAGTCTCGGATTTGAAAACCCGTTTATGTGGCTTCAAAGAGCTCCCCTTACAACAAACGAGAAAGGGGAAGGAAAAGAAAAATCACCAAGAGACCTCCGAGGATGTTTCAAGCGCTATGTCATGTCTGACTTACCTCGCCGTCGGTGATGATGACCACAATCAAGGGCGTATCAAAAGTCCCCCGCCTCACCTTCTCAACGACCATGGGCCGTATGATCTTGTCATGCAACTTGTTTCCGAGTTGCGTGATCCCTCTCCATCGGACACTCGCGACTTTCTGTACAATGTCGTCTGGCTGTCTCAAGTCGTCGAGCCGCGAATCCCGGGTATAATTGAGGAAGCGGATGGAGATGCCCGTGTCTTCGAACAAAGTCGCGATTTCCACGACGCGCTTCAGGGTAGTTTGCAGTGCTGGAATTCGATTTTCGTCTCGCATCGAAGTGCTATCATCTGTGGTGAAGCACGCACGATTTAGCCAGAGCGAAAATGCAACCCCCCCCCCCCCCCCCC